ATTGAATTATGTTGCAATGTATTTATTGTATTGTAATTTTTATATTAATAACAAAATAAACAACGAATTTTACTGCAGAGTATGTGTAAAAAAAATTTTTTGCATTTAACTTCTTTTATACATATATGAAAATAAAAATATATATATTTTTATTAAAATATTGATACAATTCTTCATTTACTATACTCCTATTACAGGTCAAATGTTTATATACAGCAAACGATGCACCATATACCTATATAACTAATTCTTTTTCTCTTTCTGCTCTCTCTTACCTATAGCATTACATATGTAATGGTTGTGCAGATTGACTCTCATATAAATTTGTAATGGTGAACGCGTGTATAGAAGTATAACTTTTAGCGGCAGTCCCACTGGATTGCCACACTTGTTTTTTTTTATATAAACTTTTTTCGCCGTTGAGTTAGGGTGATGATTAAACCATTTTCTACCTACAGTCAACATTTTAAGCAAATCCATGCATATAAAAAAAATTCGGAGGTTTTCTACTATTTTTACCGTCATATCCTGAACTATTCACTATGTCATAATAACAGAGGAGAAAAATACAACTTCCTACGACTTATAATGTAAGGAAAAGTGGAAGGAAGAAGAGGTCTAGAAAGAAGAAAATGCTCCTGGTTAAAGAATGTAAGAGACTGAACAGGTATGGACACACATTCGATACTAAGGGCAGCTCAAGATAGAGAGCAATTTGCTGTAGATATAGCCAGTCCTCAGTAATGGAGAAGACACCTTAAGAAGAAGATCCTGGACTATTTGTGTAGAAAATTATTCACATTTTCTACAATAGTTTATTTATTATTCTAATAATTATTATTATTCCACTAAATTGTCTTCTAAATTAAATTAAAGTCTATACGATCAGCACGACATCCCTTCTTCGTGCTGTTTCGTATCTTCTGCTGTAACAAAAATGGCTTGGCTGGAGCGCCAATATAATAAGAATGTGTAGTGTAGCAATAGGGTAAACTCTAAAATGTACCTTGATACACCAACGAACTAATATGTGGACTAACAGAAGATGAAAGGGATTAGATAGAAATAAATTATGCGAAAGAAATAAATAAAGGATAAATATGAATTTTTAAAAAATAATAAAATTAATGCTGGCTAGCGACTATGCAGGAGAATGACCACTTGACAATCAAAGAGGGATTCGGCCAATTTGCATGCCCTACAGAGACCGTAAGATGTAAGAATTAATGACTAGAAACTACCAAGAAATAAACAGAAGAAAGATAAAGTTGCTCTACTGAATGTTTGGGCGCCAGGAAGTTAAATGGTTTCTTCCGAGATATCTTGTATTGCTGAAATATTAAAGGATAGGTACCAAGTGAAATCTTAAATTGTTTTAACCCAACTTTAATAAAGACCTATTTTATGTACAAATTATTTAACCCCTTATATTTAACAATATAACCCAACACCTCTTATGTACAATTAACTAATCTATATTTACAGTAAAACCCTAAATACAATGATAAAACAGTTTCCCCTTTCCCAAATGTACCTATTTATGTGAAATGTTGACTAAGATTATGCAAGTTATATAAATATAATATAAAATGAAATATATAATGATATAAATGTTACAATTATCGAATAAATGAAATAAAACCTCTCCAGATATGTGTGCACACTATAACCTGTTAACGAGAGATTCCAGGGGAGTTACAATCTCAACCCTTGATGAATACTAAATGTTTTAATAAATTTACACTGACTATTATTTAAAAAAAATGAATATGATTATTATTAATAAAAAGTTAAAGCCTTGAAGAGGAAGTTAAAAGGTATTATTACAAATTTACACTGACTATTATTTAAAAAAAAATGAATATGATTATTATTAATAAAAAGTTAAAGCCTTGAAGAGGAAGTTAAAAGGTATTATTACAAATATTAAATGAAAACAACAAAAAAACAAAAACTAGTTCTTCCTGCCGGTTTCTTCCTCGGTGGACCTGGGAGGTGGTCAAGATGAAGAACTAGATGCAGGTGGGTAGAGGTCCAAAACTGGACTCCAATAAAGGTACTGAGACTTTTTACTCTTTAAACTAAAACCATATAATTCTTCCCCTGATGCTTAAATCCCCATAAAATTAAATTAAAAGTTTTCTCTTCCCCAGACTTGTCCTGGAATCCGTAACTAGGCTAAAAAAACACAGTTGTGTTACTACAAAGTCCTTTGTTCATACAAGAAAGTAAAGAAAAACCAAGAAATGTCAACACGTTGCTTCAAATTGAAGCAAAAACTATAATGTGTTTCTTTAAAAAAAATAACCTTGGGACTGTATGAAAATGTTTGGATACTAACTAGGTAATTTTAAGGAACGCCTGGTATATAGATTATAGAATCGAAAAAAGTATTAGCCGGTTTAAACGGTATGGAATTATAATTTATAATTGTTGGTTTTCATACTCGTAAAGAAATAAAATTATAAAAATCTATTACTTGTAATCTGTTGAGGTATTTAGGAAATAAATGGAATAGTTAAATAGACCAGAATGTATTTTGAAAGAGGATTAAAGAAATAGATTTAAATTTCACCAACAAGGCGGATGATGTGACATGTTTTATATATAATTTATTTATAATTTAAAACTCACCGGCTGTGGTCCAAACTTAAAGTGTTTTCCCAAAACAACAAAATAACAAAAAGGCTTCTTCCAACACAACTGATTTTCCAAAAAAATAAAAAATTAAACCAAACTCATGGAATAAAGATGGCCCCCACAGCCGCCTCTGAACACGTCTGCTCACTTCACGATTCCAAGACCAAGTAACTAGCACACGATGTTACCGCGGAAACGAAGTAGAATTTTTACATAGAGGGCGCAACTTGCTGCCAACTTTTAGGCATAAAATTTACTGAAGTTATTCAAATGTTTGGTTTAAGAATATTTCCAAATGAATTTAATTTGTAATTAAATTAAAGAATTCCAGTGACAGGACAGTAAGTGGGTATTTAAGTAACGGACTCGTTACACTGCAGAGTATGTGTAAAAAAAATTTTTTGCATTTAACTTCTTTTATACATATATGAAAATAAAAAATATATATATTTTTATTAAAATATTGATACAATTCTTCATTTACTATACTCCTATTACAGGTCAAATGTTTATATACAGCAAACGATGCACCATATACCTATATAACTAATTCTTTTTCTCTTTCTGCTCTCTCTTACCTATAGCATTACATATGTAATGGTTGTGCAGATTGACTCTCATATAAATTTGTAATGGTGAACGCGTGTATAGAAGTATAACTTTTAGCGGCAGTCCCACTGGATTGCCACACTTGTTTTTTTTTATATAAACTTTTTTCGCCGTTGAGTTAGGGTGATGATTAAACCATTTTCTACCTACAGTCAACATTTTAAGCAAATCCATGCATATAAAAAAAATTCGGAGGTTTTCTACTATTTTTACCGTCATATCCTGAACTATTCACTATGTCATAATAACAGAGGAGAAAAATACAACTTCCTACGACTTATAATGTAAGGAAAAGTGGAAGGAAGAAGAGGTCTAGAAAGAAGAAAATGCTCCTGGTTAAAGAATGTAAGAGACTGAACAGGTATGGACACACATTCGATACTAAGGACAGCTCAAGATAGAGAGCAATTTGCTGTAGATATAGCCAGTCCTCAGTAATGGAGAAGACACCTTAAGAAGAAGATCCTGGACTATTTGTGTAGAAAATTATTCACATTTTCTACAATAGTTTATTTATTATTCTAATAATTATTATTATTCCACTAAATTGTCTTCTAAATTAAATTAAAGTCTATACGATCAGCACGACATCCCTTCTTCGTGCTGTTTCGTATCTTCTGCGCCTGTCAGAATTTTACATTAATCTATTCAAATCAACTACCCTTAATATCACTTCGTTTCTGCCTTCTCAAATAGAAGGACGTAAGTCAATTCATTTTTTCAGTTTCTCAAGTAGAAACAAGATAGTTCTGTTCTCGCGCTTCTCAAATAGAAGCAGTTTTTGATTAACTTATTTTATTAAATAGTTAATTAAACTAAATTCAGTGTTTGTGCATCAAATATGTAAGTACCTGAAATAATTTTTTCATACAGAAGACAATCTACGGTTTCGTGCCAACTTTGCATGAATGCCAGTCCGACAAATTACAGGGTTGCCGGATATTCAATAATCTACATATAAACTTTATTGTTCTATATTTTCATATAAACAGTTGTGCGTTTAAGAACATTGTACATAAACATTTATATTTTATTATTTTAGAAAGGCTGATTTGTTGGCGATTCCGTTTTTTATTTATTTTTGTAAATAATGTAATAAAAATATTTCTAGCTTTTATTCTTATTTTAATTATTTCATTTTCTATTTTAGTACTCACTACATAATTACATATCCGCAAGTTTGCGACCTATGGGTCGCTGGTCCTTCGAGGTTTAATTTATTTTTTATCTACCAAATGTAGGAAGGTGAGATCATAATTTTTCAAATACTTATTTACTTTTAATTTATCGAACCAGCTACCTCATCCTTTCCCCTACAATTTGTTTTATTCACACACAATGCTTGCCCACTACTTAGCTATTCTGTCAGCTGTTATGTGGCGGCTATTTTATCATAGATACTTTGACACTGACAATCCGTCATTTCTTGACCTTATACCATTTCGAGTAGTAAGCTGTAGTTGTATCTTTGTTAGATAGCAAAAAATCGTTATTAACAAAACCATTATTGTCTATACGTTGTTTAGAATTTTAAAAGTATAAGTATAAGTATAAAAGTATAAATGTATATTTTTGGCCTTACATGTCTCTCTAATTTATTGTCACAGATAAGGTTACTTTCAGTGATTATCAAAATATTACAATTTCAAATTAGTAGTAGCGTTCGAGTCCACTGCTTTTCATTTGAAACTAATATTACCATTGTATACACAGATATCTTTACCGGAATAACAGGTTTGTTTAAATTAAATATGGAGCAAAATCCTTTACAGATAGAAGATGAACAATCCGACAAATATCATCCAATCGTTCCTTTTTTGGCAGTTGCAGTTTCTTTTTTGCTTGTGAAATTCGTTGTAAGTGAGTTTGTTGTCAAAAAAATAGCCATACACTTTGGATTAAACAATGGTAAGTGTTCTTATCAACAGTTACGTAAGTGTTACGAACAGTTAGTCGAAACAAGCGGTTAATTGTTCTGTTGCCCGCTAAGTATTTATGTATTTCTGAAAAGGACAATATTTTATAGTTTTTAGAAACGACATCCCCTCCACTAGGGGCTTCTGTTAGACGTTTTATAATGTACTTTAGAAGTATCATTTGAAACTCAGTTCTAACGGTTATTGTAAGATATTGTAAGTTATGACCAATATTAGTATAGGTAATTTATACTTTTGTTGTCTGAAAGTAGTTTAAAAAATATCATTCATAAAATAAATATGCTACTTGGTTCCTTTTTTAAAAATTAAATTTCAATATTTTCTATACAATTTTCAAAAGAACCAGTCCCTTGGTATACGAGGATGGATTAGTATAAAACTAACTTTTGATAGAAAAAACAAGTTTTTTATAATTAAATCGATTTATTTCCCAACATAGTCCCCTTTGAGCTCGATACACTTAGTAAGACCACGTTCCAATCAGCGACGACCATCATTTGTTGCGAAACGGCGTCCTCTGAGCCATTTTTTAGGTTTGGAAACAGGAAAAAATCCCAGGCGGCAAGATCTGGGAAATACGGTGGCTGTTCAACCAATTCATAGCTTAATTTGTGTAATTTTGCCATGGTGACGGCCTATCGGTGAGCAAAATTGTCTTGGTGAAAGAGCACTTTTTGCGTTCCAAACCAGATCGTTTTCGGCATTGAATCGATCCAATAATGCTGCGTAGTTCTCAACATTGATCCTTTCTCCTTTTTACAAGCAGTCGATGTGGATGATGCCCTTCGCATCCCAGAAAACAGTTGCCATCACTTTGCCGGCCGAATGTGCACTCTTTGCCTTCTTCGGCGGCCCTTCGCCGCGTTTGTGCCACTGTTTTGACTGTTCTTTGGTTTCCGGTGTGTAATAATGCACCCAGGTTTCATCAACGGTGATCAATCGGCGAAAAAAATCCTTTGGATCTGTTAACAATTATTTTTTCTAGAGTACTTTATTAAGAAGTCACTGGTACTTATTGTGTTCACTGTTATTCCTTTTTTTCCTGCAGCTTGTCATAACATTTGAATAGTCTTCTGGCCCATACAATCTTTACTGAAATTTTATCGCGTTTTCTATATCTATAAAATCAGAAATTGGACAGAAAACTGTGGCCCGATTCCAAAAAATGTATTGTTATTTTGTTTAATGTAGGTTGATTAGGTAAGGCATGCTTCAGCAAAAAACATATTTTACTGTTGCAGTTTTGGCCGCCACATGAATCGCACCAAAAACGAATTTGTTTGATTTCAGAGCCTAGATGGAGCTAGAAGTGTTCATAATGTCGTTGGTTAAAATTGTCTTCTTCTTTAAGTGTCATCTCCGAGACGGAGGTTGGCAATCATCATGGCTCTTCTGACCTTCGAGGCAGCTCCTCTGAACAATTAACTTTAGCTGCAACCAAACCACTCTCTCAGGTTCTTCAACCAGGAAACGCGTCTTCTTCATACGCTTCTCTTACCCTCTATTTTTCCTTGAATTATGAGTCTCAAGATGTTGAATCTTTCGCCTCTCATTACATGTCCGAGATATTGCAATTTCCTTTCTTTTATTGTATTTTCCATTTCTTTCTCTCTGTCTTTTCTCCTTAACACTTCTGCATTCGTGACTCTATCTACCCACGGAATCCTTAACAATCTTCTAAATGTCTACATTTCAAAGAAGTTAAGTCAATTTATTGTATTCCGGTTTAATGTCCATGATTTAGCTCCATAGTAGAGTACACTATGTACATAGCATTTAATTAGCCTTATTCTGAGGGCCAATGTCAGATCTTTGCGTAAAATTTTCTATATGACGATATTGGAAGCCGCTGATTTTGCAGAACAAGTATCACATTTATTACATCTACCCTTTTTTTATAGTTTTACTTGTAATGTTAAACTCTAGGACTATTGTTTTCTGATTTATAAAGGTTATACATTTTTTCAAGTGTCATGTCAATAGGTAAACTCTCTCTGTGTTTGAGTTCGTCGGTAATAAGATTTAGACCATGGAATCTTGTTAATATGTGCCATAACCTCTTCCTTTTTCATTTCAGACAACCTTTTATGATGTTGACGCTTCAGCGATTATCTCTTAAGTCTAATACTCTCGATTGTTTAAGTGCTGTATTTATGCGTTTAGTGGATATTTCTAGGGTTTTTACGAACATATCGCGACACACCGTAAACCTATTCATCGTGTATGTTCTTGAATATAATATAAGATGACTACCTTCAATATGGTTTCTTCATTTTTTAACTGCATTTTCTTGAACCAAGTCGATAATAAGTGATGTTTGATGATCATAACTTCCAACATTCCAGTATTTCTCAAACATTTTTTTCGGATGTCACTATTTATTTTTGTGTATAATTTTTCTTCACAGTTACATTGATAGTCAATAAACTGTTTTGAATCTACGTGTAACCCTCTTTTAGAAATATTTGGTTTATTGGTGTTTTTTAAAATTCTCCGATTTGCTTGATTGTCCAATGTACTTCGTTTTCTTCATTTTCTTGGTCTTCCTTTCAAATGTTCTTCTTGGCTTACTTGTCTAGGATAGTTTTTGTTGTTCCGTGTGTTCGTGTTCCGTATTTGCACTGCTGTCTGATGAATCATCGGTACTTTCTGGATATGACGCTTCATCGTTTTAAAAATCAGGATCTGCAATATTGTCGTCAAAGTCACTCTCCTCAGATAAATCGGTGTTCCAGTCTTCGATAGTTGTATTATGAGCCTCAGGTGTACTATAATCCTCATTTGCACCATTTTACTTACCATTTGGATAACTATCTTTGTTGTTATATAAGCTATGATTATCCTGAAACAAAGTTATAATAGGTAAGTGGAGTATTTATACGGTAACCAGTATTTTTTTCAAACTGACTAAAAAACGGTATCTAAATATATTTTGGTTTATTACAAAATACCAAAGTAATTATGTCTGACTACAAAGATGATTAGGAATATTATCGTTCAAATCCTACTTCAAAAAACATCTTAACAAAATACGAAATTACTATTTATAGAATACATCAAAAATTACTATTTCGCGAAATCTACTGTAGTGGTAGATTTAATGTGGGTAGTTTGTATAGTTACTGTGGGTTATAAGGTGGATGCTAGTGTGGTGGTAGAGGGTGGTTATAGGGAGAGGGGAGATAGACGCACGGGACAGCTGCACGGCAGCGATAAACCGGTCTATATGATCTGATGGTAAGGTACTAATGAGGTCAGAGACGAAGGAGTTGGTGTATGTGTTCATTAACGGTGTGGTGATGTGTTCTAGTATGTGTTCTAGTTTGTGTTAGGTGGATATTGGTGAAATGTTGCATGTTTGAGTGTTATTGGATGTTAATGGTAATATGTTGCCTGTGTGGATGTTATTGGTTGGTAAAGGGAAAAGCCTGAGTTGTCAATGGTGGTAGTAGGGTTTTGTGTGTTCGTGTGCAGAGGGTCAGTTGGTTCAACCGGAATTGGGTTGTTTGACCTCGTGAAACGGGTCGATCGGGACATGTTTATCATCTATAGGACAAGGACTATAGAAGACATCTGTTTTTTTATATGATGTGCTATGTATAAGATGGCGGGTTACCGGACTATACTCAACTCTTTACTTTGGCTGACTGTCCCTCGTAGCTGTATACTCCTTTCGTAGTATACAGCCTACTAGTAGGGTGTAAGGGGTACTCTTAGCGAAAAAATCTAGCTTCAGATAGGCTAAATCGGTTCAAACCCTTCACTGGGGGCCAACAGCATTAGCAACGGCTTACGCGGGTGGCCTTTCTTACAAAACCATCCACTGAGCCTACGCTGTTACCGGTAGACTACCAGAAAAAAGAGAAACATACCAAATAACCTAACTTTTTCTGTCTTCAGGTGCGATTTGCGTAACGGCTCACAGCTTTCGTCGGCTGCTTACACTCAACCCCTATTACTGATGATGGCCTATGGCAATCGTCTGACCCTGTACTATAGCCTAAAAACCTAAAAACGAGAACTGCACTGTATCACTGCTGGACTTCGACTTTGATCAGACTGTGAAAATGTTTCATATTGACAGGTTTTTATATGGCATTTTCCGATCACTCAGCCAATAGAAAAAATCGAAGGGGTTTCGAGTTGGGGTAATGGAATATATTGATGGAAGATACAAGATAAAAAAATTCAATTTCAGAAGAACTTCGGGGGCCGCATAAACATGTATAACGGGCCGCAAGCGGTCCGCTGGCCGCATGTTGCTCACCCTTGGTTCACATATTATCATATTATCAAATCACATATTATTGGCATAGGGTAGATTTTAATCTTTGAACTAGTTTCTACCTGCTGTCAAAATTTCAAGGAAATTCTTGCATGTAAAAAGAATTCTAAACAGAAAGCCGTCATATCCTGGACTATTATGAATTCTTTAATTCTGAAGAAAGTAACACATTTTGAAACCAATCAATTCTAATATTTTACACCAAAAAAGCTTTATTATCTTGTCAATACCTAGTTAATTTTTTTTTACTTCTTACTTTTAGGAAATGATCGACTAAAATCATCAAAATCATTAGGGGATGAAGGTATCTTAATTCAGAATGAAAGGAAGAAGTCATCAAGCCAGAACAAATACTCGACCTTTGATAAATTTTGTGAGAGTGGGAACAAGTTTGTATGGTATACCTTTATATGGACGTATAGCCTAATAATGCACTGGAACAAACCGTGGGTATGGGATATTGAATCGTGCTGGAGAGACGTTTCAAATAATTGGCCTCTCGATGTTTGGTACTTCGGTGTCTTCTTAACGGCCTATTACCTAGAAGCGTGTACAATGCACTTTGTTAGTGTAAGGCGTAAGGATTTTATGATAATGCTTATCCATCATATTTGCGTTATGGGCATATTAGCAGTAGTGTGGTATTATAATCTTTACGCAATCGGTACTATATACATGTTTTTGCACGATTTTGCTGACATTTTCATTGAACTGGCTAAATCTTTAAAATATCTTAAATTTACAGTTATTACAAACGTTATCTTTGCTTTGTTCGTAGTATCATGGATAGTAACTAGAATGTATCTCTTTCCGGTTTATGTTGTGAGGTCTAGTATCGAAGATCGGTATGGTGTATTAAGAAAAATCTCTTTGTATTACTATTGGAATGGAATCAATTTAGTTTTGATGTGTCTGCATACCATATGGACATATCTAATTTTAAGATCAGTCATGAGATCCATTCGAAAAGGAGTTGCTGAAGATGATAGATCTGACGATGAAAATAATATCAAAGATGAACAAAAAAAGGAATAATTAATACGTTTTTATTTTTTTTTATTTTAATTAAAATTATTTCATTGTTTCAACTAAACATACAAAGTAATTTTATAGGACAGTGCTGATGATTAACGTTAGTGAATAAATTGCAGTTTGACACTCAAAAAAAAACAATGTCTAAAAAGTGCAATATTTTCATCTTAGCTCGATATACTAAGTTTAAGAATAGTTGTTAGAAAATTATATATAAAAAGTTTAAGATTCAAATAATGGATTGTTATTTCTCCACCCACTTTAAGATTCACTTTATTAGGAGTAATTATCAGAAATATAAACTGGTAATTTTTAATTTGGTTTTTTTATTTGTATCGTTTTACTTTATTTGTCATATACTTGACATCTTGTTGGTTCTGTGACATGACACTTGGACGTTGACAGATTTCATGGAACGTTACTCACTTCATTACTTACGGAGTTACATTATGTAGGTTACCACACGCATGTTTTTAATTAGTGACATAAAGGAACATAAAATACACTCAAAACCATTTTCATTACATTAAACGTACATATACTCACAGGCACTCACAGGCGTAGAGAGTCCAGTCAGAATTCAAAACGACTTTTCAAGACCCTTCCATTGTAAAAATGGATTAAGACAGGTAGATGGACTGTCGTGTCTCTTATTTAACCTGGCACTAGAAAAAGTAATTCGAGATTGCCATATTAATGCGAAGGGCACCATTGATGATCTGGAACTGGAAGGTGTGGAGACCTTCGTCTACCTGGGCTCGCTGCTAACTAAAGATAACAATGTCAGCGAAGAAATTAAAAGAAGACTAGTGCTTGCCAATAAGTGCTGTTAGGCTTGAGGAAATAGATGGCCCCAAAACTACCCAGAAAAATTAAAGTTACCGTATCTATCTATTTATCTATGTCCTTGTTGTTTGTTTACAAAGCTTGGCTTACTTTATTTATTGTATTCCGGTTTAATATTAATTAAATTAAATTAATTAATAAGTTAAGTCAATTTATTGTATTCCGGTTTAATGTCCATGATTTAGCTCCATAGTAGAGTACACTATGTACATAGCATTTAATTAGCCTTATTCTGAGGGCCAATGTCAGATCTTTGCGTAAAATTTTCTATATGACGATATTGGAAGCCGCTGATTTTGCAGAACAAGTATCACATTTATTACATCTACCCTTTTTTTATAGTTTTACTTGTAATGTTAAATTCTAGGACTATTGTTTTCTGATTTATAAAGGTTATACATTTTTTCAAGTGTCATGTCAATAGGTAAACTCTCTCTGTGTTTGAGTTCGTCGGTAATGAGATTTAGACCATGGAATCTTGTTAATATGTGCCATAACCTCTTCCTTTTTCATTTCAGACAACCTTTTATGATGTTGACGCTTCAGCGATTATCTCTTAAGTCTAATACTCTCGATTGTTTAAGTGCTGTATTTATGCGTTTAGTGGATATTTCTAGGGTTTTTACGAACATATCGCGGCACACCGTAAACCTATTCATCGTGTATGTTCTTGAATATAATATAAGATGACTACCTTCAATATGGTTTCTTCATTTTTTAACTGCATTTTCTTGAACCAAGTCGATAATAAGTGATGTTTGATGATCATAACTACCAACATTCCAGTATTTCTCAAACATTTTTTTCGGATGTCACTATTTATTTTTGTGTATAATTTTTCTTCACAGTTACATTGATAGTCAATAAACTGTTTTGAATCTACGTGTAACCCTCTTTTAGAAATATTTGGTTTATTGGTGTTTTTTAAAATTCTCCGATTTGCTTGATTGTCCAATGTACTTCGTTTTCTTCATTTTCTTGGTCTTCCTTTCAAATGTTCTTCTTGGCTTACTTGTCTAGGATAGTTTTTGTTGTTCCGTGTGTTCGTGTTCCGTATTTGCACTGCTGTCTGATGAATCATCGGTACTTTCTGGATATGACGCTTCATCATTTTAAAAATCAGGATCTGCAATATTGTCGTCAAAGTCACTCTCCTCAGATAAATCGGTGTTCCAGTCTTCGATAGTTGTATTATGAGCCTCAGCTGTACTATAATCCTCATTTGCACCATTTTACTTACCGTTTGGATAACTATCTTTGTTGCTATATAAGCTATGATTATCCTGAAACAAAGTTATAATAGGTAAGTGGAGTATTTATACGGTAACCAGTATTTTTTTCAAACTGACTAAAAAAACGGTATCTAAATATATTTCGATTCATTACAAAATACCAAAGTAATTATGTCTGACTACAAAGATGATTAGGAATATTATCGTTCAAATCCTACTTCAAAAAACATCCTAACAAAATACGAAATTACTATTTACAGAATATATCAAAAATTACTATTTCGCGAAATCTACTGTAGTGGTAGCTTTAATGTGGGTAGTTTGTATAGTTACTGTGGGCTATAAGGTGGATGCTAGTGTGGTGGTAGAGGGTGATGTAGGGAGAGGGGAGATAGACGCACGGGACAGCTGCACGGCAGCGATAAACCGGTCTAGATGATCTGACGGTAAGGTACTAATGAGGTCAGAGACGAAGGAGTTGGTGTATGTGTTCATTAACGGTGTGGTGATGTGTTCTAGTATGTGTTCTAGTTTGTGTTAGGTGGATATGGGTGAAATGTTGCATGTTTGAGTGTTATTGGATGTTAATGGTGAGATGTTGCCTGTGTGGATGTTATTGGTTGGTAAAGGGAAAAGCCTGAGTTGTCAATGGTGGTAGTAGGGTTTTGTGTGTTCGTGTGCAGAGGGTCAGTTGGTTCAACCGGAATTGGGTTGTTTGACCTCGTGAAACGGGTCGATCGGGACATGTTTATCATCTATAGGACAAGGACTATAGAAGACATCTGTTTTTTTATATGTTGTGCTATGTATAAGATGGCGGGTTACCGGACTATACTCAACTCTTTACTTTGGCTGGCTGTCCCTCGTAGCTGTATGTATACTCCTTTCGTAGTATACAGCCTACTAGTAGGGTGTAAGGAGTACTCTTAGCGAAAAAATATCTAGCTTCAGATAGGCTAGAAGTCGGTTCAAACCCTTCACTGGGGGCCAACAGTACTAGCGACGGCTTGCGCGGGTGGCCTTTCTTACAAAACCATCCACTGAGCCTACGCTGTTACCGTTAGACTACCAGAAAAAAGAGAAACATACCAAATAACCTAACTTTTTCTGTCTTCCGGTGCGATTTGCGTAACGGCTCACAGCTTTCGTCGGCTGCTTACACTCAACCCCTATTACTGGGCGCACACGTCGAATCACACCTTCTTTTTTCTTCTGCTTTGCGTTCTGCACCGCGGCCGCGTCGGCGATCCAAGCGGTCAGAACTCACGATGGCCTGTATCACTGCTGGACTTCGACATTGATCAGTGAAAATGTTTCATATTGACAGGTTTTTATATGGCATTTTCCGATCACTCAGCCAATAGAAAAAATCGAAGGGGTTTTGAGTTGGGGTAATGAAATATATTGATGGAAGATACAAGATAAAAAAAAATCAATTTCAGAAGAACTTCGGGGGCCGCATAAACATGTATAACGGGCCGCAAGCGGTCCGCTGGCCGCATGTTGCTCATCCTTGGTTCACATATTATCATATTATCAAATCACATATTATTGGCATAGGGTAGATTTTAATCTTTGAACTAGTTTCTACCTGCTGTCAAAATTTCAAGGAAATTCTTGCATGTAAAAAGAATTCTAAACAGAAAGCCGTCATATCCTGGACTATTATGAATTCTTTAATTCTGAAGAAAGTAACACATTTTGAAACCAATCAATTCTAATATTTTACACCAAAAAAGCTTTATTATCTTGTCAATACCTAGTTAATTTTTTTTTACTTCTTACTTTTAGGAAATGATCGACAAAAATCATCAGAATCATTAGGGGATGAAGGTATCTTAATTCAAAATGAAAGGAAGAAGTCATCAAGTCAGAAGAAACACTCGAACTTTGATAAATTTTGTGAGAGTGGGAACAAGTTTGTATGGTATACCTTTATATGGACATATGGCCTAATAATGCACTGGAACAAACCGTGGGTATGGGATATTGAATCGTGCTGGAGAGACGTTTCAAATAATTGGCCTCTCGATGTTTGGTACTACGGTGTCTTCTTAACAGCCTATTATCTAGAAGCGTGTACAATGCACTTTCTAAGCGTAAGGCGTAAGGATTTTATGATAATGCTTATCCACCATATTTGCGTTATGGGCAATGTAGCAGTAGTGTGGTATTATAATCTTTACGCAATCGGTACTTTAGACATTTTTTTGCACGATTTTGCTGACATTTTCATTGAACTTGCTAAATGTTTAAAATATCTTAAATTTACAGTTATTACAAACGTTATCTTTGCTTTGTTCGTAGTGTCATGGATAGTAACTAGATTGTATCTCTTTCCGATGTATGTTGTGAGGTCTGGTATCGAAGATCGGTATGGGGTATTAAGAAATATCTCTTTGTATTACTATTGGAATGGAACCAATTTAGTTTTGATGTGTCTGCATACCATATGGACATATCTAATTTTAAGATCAGTCATGAGATCCATTCGAAAAGGAGTTGCTGAAGATGATAGATCTGACGATGAAGATAATATCAAAGATGAACAAAAAAAGGAATAATTAATACGTTTTTATTTTTTTTTATTTTAATTAAAATTATTCCATTGTTTCAACTAAACATACAAAGTAATTTTATAGGACAATCTAAACAGTGCTGATGATTAACGTTAGTGAATAAATTGCAGTTTGACACTCAAAAAAAACAATGTCTAAAAAGTGCAATATTTTCATCTTAACTTGACATACTAAGTTTAAGAATAGTTGTTAGAAAATTATATATAAAAAGTTTAAGATTCAAATAATGGATTGTTATTTCTTCCACCCACTTTAAGATTCACTTTATTAGGAGTAATTATCAGAAATATAAACTGGTAATTTTTAATTTGGTTTTTTTATTTGTATCGTTTTACTTTATTTGTCATATACTTGACATCTTGTTGGTTCTGTGACATGACACTTGGACGTTGACAGATTTCATGGAACGTTACTCACTTCATTACTTACGGAGTTACATTATGTAGGTTACCACACACATGTTTTTAATTAGTGATATAAAGGAACATAAAATAACTCAAAACAATTTTCATTACATTAAACGTACATATACTCACAGGCACTCAAAGGCGTAGAGAGTCTAGTCAGAATTCAAAACGACTTTTCAAGACCCTTCCATTGTAAAAATGGATTGAGACTGGAGATGGACTGTCGTGTCTCTTATTTAACCTTGCACTAGAAAAAGTAATTCGAGAGTGCCATATTAATGCGAATGGCACCATCTTTAATAAATCTGTGTACAAGAGGTCGGATATGCAGATGGTATGGACATTATTGCTAAGTCCACAGAATCTCTGATAGAAGCATTTCGATCATTAAGGGCGTCTGCACTGAGAATGGGATTAAAAATAAACGTACAGAAAATCAAGTATATGTATTGTACTAGATCAGGCAACCAGATTCCCAAACTATTAATTGATTATTTGGAACTGGAAAGTGTGGACACCTTCGTCTACCTGGGCCACCTGTCTACCTGGGCTCGCTGCTAACTAAAGACAACAATGTCAGCGAAGAAATTAAAAGAAGACTAGTGATTGCCAATAAGTGCTATTAGGCTTGAGGAAACAGATGGACCCAAAACTACCCAGAAAAATTAAAGTTACCGTATCTATCTATCTATCTATCTATGTAGACAGCCCTTGTTGTCCAATTTTGGATATAGGCCTCCTCTTTCTTATTCCACGCCTCTCTATTGTAGGCAGTTTGTATCCACTACGGGCCTGCGTGTTTTTTCAAGTCATCTGACCATCTCATTTGAGGCCTTCCTCTTTTTCGTTTATAACTATATAGTCCCCAGTATCTTATTCCATCTGTCGTCTTTCTGTCTTAGGGTATGTCCAGCGAACTTCCACTTAAGTTGTGTTATCTGCGTTGATACATCGGTCACTTTTGTTTTGTTGCGGATCCAAGTATTTCTTTTCTTGTCTGATAGCCTGATGTTCAGCATTTGCCTTTCCATGGCTCTCTGGGTGTTTGCTATTTGGCCAAGACATATAACATTTGGCTATAACAAGGAAAGTGTTAACATAAGGGTCAGAAACGTGGTCACTTACACAGAACGACTAATAAGTGCTTAAACGTTTCGAGAGAAAAATTCTAAGGAAAATATACGGAGGACTCCAAGAACAGGGTTTGTGGCATAAGCTCTACAACTTTTAGTTATACAGAAGTTTTGGGGAACCTGACGTTGTAAAATGTAGTAAATTAGCACGCCTTCGATGGATAGGACATGTAATTAGGCGAGATGAAGATACAACGATCGAAGAGGACCAGTGAAAAGACGAACCAGAGTAAGACCAAAACTTGCTGCTTGCATTCTCTCAAACACCACCTGAGCAAACCTGCTCCAGGCAACGATTGCTATATCATCAAAATATCAGATAATAAAAGCCTTCTGTGGGAAGATTTTAAAGGAAATCATCTACCAAGGTTGTCCAAAGTAAAGGGGACAGAACTCCTCCTTGTGGATAGCCTCCACCCACATTTTTTGCTTTTTCTTTGATTGTTGCTTTACTCAGAATGGACATTACATGTATCACAGAGCTGATAGATGTATCTTAGATTGCATACCTGCTACCATAAGAAAAATTTAAACCTGCAGTAGACAACACTTTGCTTGGTGGAATTAAGATATTCTTTATATCAGCAAGTTAAAAGGATTTAACAATAACACAAATTGGCTTCCAAGCTTGAAGCTAAAACGTTAAAACAATTATCAGTTTCATAATAAAATTTTGATGTATTCTTACCGAGATCACTAATAAAAATCCAAAATGCCACAAGGACACAGTTTCAGAACATTAATTGCCATGCCTAGTATATCGTTGTTAAATATATTTATTACTAAAACAATTGCAGTTGTTCGTGTTTAATGGTAATAATAAAGTTATTGGTGTTATATATTTACCGTGTTTATAATGTGCCATAAACTTTTCAATTTGTATTGTGAAAAATATTTTTAGATATACTTAAAAATGTATGTCAAGATGCATATGCATTTATTGATACATATTTTATACATTCATTTCAACGCTGCACTTGTTATAGCGCACCTTGCAGGAAATTATCAAAACCAACGTAAAAATGTAGGAAGTGTAGTGTGGCACACTGATTGAATGTATGTTTAAACAGTAAGTACCATATTTTTGTTTTCTTTTCCATTAGAATATACATTATTTGCTAGAATTTAGAATGAAGACCTTTCGCTTAATATATTTTTACATTACTTAAAATTTCATTATAATAGACATCTTTCTTATCAGTTAATTAAAGCTTTCAAATAACCTCCAATTTTTTATATTAAGGATAGTCAATGTCTTCTACTTTGTGCACTGTGGTTATTAAAACTTCATAAATATACATATATTTTTCTTCCTTTTTTAGTTGTATTCCTTAACGACATTTCTTTTTTTATTATTTAAAACTGCTTCAACCACAAGGGTTATTAGCAATGATCGATTTTACAGATAATATAAATATAAAAAAAATAAAGAATACGATTAGATTTTGTTGATTAGTCCTGAGGAAACCAAAAAAAGTATGGTACGATTGAGGTCACTATGTTCACTTAGAATGTCTTTTATTGTTGTACACAAAAGGTTTGGGTTACTTCTGTAGTAGGAAATCATGTGTGATCTTGGTGTGTCCTAATCGTAGTCCGTAGATGATAGCTTGATCTCTTTTTTTCATAGTAGGGCAGTTTGTTTTATGGATTTAAGGTTAGAAGTTGAGACATGTTTCCTGCCATTTGTTTATTAGTTTTTTTTCCTTTGACATCAAGTTGGTGACAAGTAGACATTGACAATGAAATTGGTTTCTCAATAGCTTCTTTTGCAACGTTGTCGGCTGTTTCATTTCCTTTTATTCCAGAATGTGAAGGGGTCCAAAAAAACTGAACACTTCGATGATTGATTTGGCATATCATGAGTTCCGACTTAATTAAACTTAAAATAGGATATTTCGTAAAAAATTTGTTTAATGAGGATAATGAGCTCAATGAATCACTAATTATTAGGCAATTAACAATGTTATTTTCATTGACAAGTTTGCCTGAAGAATGGCAAATAGTTAAGCAGAGAATATAGTGAATTGCTTAGGGAGTTGAAAAGACCGTTCTTCGCTGTTGACGCATCAGTATAAATGTGGATGGACTTGTCATGACTATTTAACTTCTCTAAGGCTTTGGTTTTAGGGAGGTATGATGAAATATCAGATTTTTTAAATGATGTAAGACTGATATCGTACTTTGGAAGAGATATTGTCCATGGTAAAGAATTATCACAATTTGTAAGTGTGTATATAGGAGGTACAGAGATCTCTAGGTTATTTAGAATTGTGCTGATACGATGATAGAATGGTGGATCTAATCTTCTTCTTGACTGAAACGTCGAGAAAAATATGTCAACAAAACTGTTTCTGAAAACAGGAATGGTTCAATTTGCCACCACCATTAAAGCATATGAAAGACTTAAATATTTCTTTCTAAGCTAAAGTTAAGGCTTCCTAGATTCACAGTACATGCCCTTAATATAGCTTCCCCTCGTGTTAGTCCAGATGCATTATTTCTGTGTAAAAAACGAATTCAAAACTAGTGTAATTAATTATTTTTTTATATTTTCTAGTTTTGTTGCTATCGCTCATAAAGTGCGAACAATATGGAGAACTTTTATATACTATGGAGCGAAGAAAACCGTCAATACCATAGTCCGAAACAATTTCTTCCCCTACTGCCATTAACACTTTTAGCGCTAGGAATTAGATATATAATAGAGACATTTTTAATAAGACCAATGGGAGTATACTTAGGAATACCACCAGGTGAGTACAGCAATGTGATAATACAACAGGTAGTTTTTCTTTGCTGTTATCCGTTCTCACTATAGGCTTTCTTTAACACATTTTTCCATATATTTCTTTATTGGTTCATACAAATTTTAATATTCTTATCAGATTTATATCTATTCTAATCACGATATTTTATTTCAATTTGGTGTTCAACATGTCATAACCATTTTAATTCACTCACTCATATTTGCTTACTCATATTGGCATGAATTGGTGTAATTTCCTCGCAGAATATCTATCTGCAGCATCATCTCTCCTGGTATATTTTTGGTGGAGTACTGGTATACTTTTTCCATGAGTCCTCTAATGTGATATGGCTCACCAATTAAAACAGTGAATCTTCTTTTTCGGTCATTCTTTAAACAATTTTTATATATTTTTGGATTCAAAAGAATTACAGTAACTAGAATGACAGTTTTACCATTAATTAATTGCAAATAGAATATTTATGATCCTCGTGAATATGATCAAGCAGAATTTGAAGACCTTCAATATTACCTGATAGAAATACTGTATCATCTGCATATCTAATCACATAAGTAGTTCCCCGTTGATTTTTATTCCATATGGTTGTCTCTCAAGTGCCTTTTTAAATAACTGGTCCGAGTAAACATTGAACAATATTGGCGACAAAATGCTATCTTGTCGGACTCCTCGTTGTATAAAGATTTCATCGGTGTAAGTTATCTAAAATTTTTACGATAGCAGTTAGATTCCAGTACAAATTTTTAATGACACGAATATGCTTGTCATCTATTCCGATATTTTTCAGTATTTGCATTAATTTTAGATGCTGTACTTTATCGAATGCCTTTTCGTAGTCCACGAAACATGCAAATACATCTTTTCTTTGGTCACGTCATTTTTGTAATAGGATGTTAAGCGCAAAAAGTGCCTCCCTGGTTCCCATAGTATTTCTAAAACCAAATTGGGTATCTTCAAGATCTTCGCATTTGCGTCTAATTCTGTTGAGAAATATTCTGGGGAAAATTTTGAAGAGTGTGGCTCATTAGGCTTATTAATCGTTATTGTGAGCAGTTTTTTGCATTGTGTTTTTTAGGTATTGCGACAAAGATGGATTTGAGCCAATCTGCGGGAATCACTCCGGTGTTATATATTGAATAAAAGTCTTACTACTACTTTCATGTTATCATTCTCTATTAGTTTCAGCAACTCAGTTGGTGTATCATCTGGGCCACAAGCTTTTGTAATTTTAGCAATATTTATAGCGTGTTTACCTCGCATTTCATAATTTCTGGGCCGTCAGTACAGTTTTGGTAGAATTCGGCAATATTATTCCTGTCATCTTCAACTCTGATATATACAACTGTCATTCTTTTCTTATTTCGTGCTCATTTACAATAATTTTGTTATTATTATCAACGAATACAGAGGGAACTAAGTAAGTAATTTTTCTATAACAACTTTTTTATAATAATTCTTCAAGTTTGTCTCCACAAATATAGTCAAATATCATCATTATTATTAAATCGCTTTGGATTATTGCGTATTTGGCCTATTATTCTGTTATGAGGTGGATAACTCCTCTTTCCATCTATTTTGGTTAAAATTTACTTTGTTTCCGGGCTGATTTGGTTATAATTTAGAAGGTGCATATGTAGAATCTGTTGTTCTATTACTGAAATCCCTTTTATGTTCTGATATACGTTTGTTAGAAATTCTACCAGTTTGACTGATGTAAGTTTTTGGGTTTCGTAAAGTTTTTAAAAACAAAGTTTTTAGTGTTTATTTGTTATATAAAATGAATTTCCATCAAGTAACGGTCGAATAAACCACGTATTATTATCATCCATTATTATTATCTAATTTATTGCTCTTTTGGTATATTTGTTTATATATATAACCATTAAATCTATTTTAGACCAACCTATTCATTCAATCTCTCTATTAGAAAGGACTTCCAGACCCAGTAAGTTGACAAGATTCACGGAGAGCTGTATAAAACTCCTATGGTATTCCTTTATCTGGATATTTGGAATGGCAGTTTTATGGAACAAGCCTTGGTTATGGGATATTAATGCAAGTTGGACCGATTTCGGAAACGATCCAGTCAGCGTTGATCTATGGTTCTATGGAAGCTTAACTATGGTGTACTACAGCTCAGCGTGCGTAAGTCAGCTGTGTCTAGATGTGAGACGTAAAGACTTTTGGATTATGTTTTTACATCATATCACAGTCGTGGTGTTGGTTTCTATCATTTGGATTTTTAAACTACATCGAATAGGCTCTTTAGCCCCTGTTATGCACGACGTTAATGATATCATCCTGGAACTTTCAAAGTGTCTTAAGTATCTGAAATATCCTAAATGGCCTGAAATATTTTTTGTACTTTTTGCCATTTTTTGGATAATAACCAGGTTAATAATTTTACCATTTTGGTATGTAAGAGCTTGTTTAGAGGACTCCGGAGGTGCTTTATCGAAAGCCTCTGTATATTACGTTTGGAACGGGATTTTCCTGGTTCTTTTGTTTCTAGACAGTATTTGGACTGTTTTGATTTTTAAGGTAATTAAAATAATTATTCAAGAGGGCTCTGCTGTGGACATTCGATCTGACGATGAAAGTAGTTCGGAAGAGGAATTAAAGGATGAATAGTCTTATATTTATTTGTGTAATACAAATTTGTTATTGAAATTGTATTCTATACATAATTATATTTTTATATAAATGTAATAATGATCCTTTTTTTGTAAAAAGAAAGATATACAGCCAATGGAGCTTAAGCTTGAAAATAATATTAATAAATAATATGGGTTATCTGCAATGTATAGCCCATCTCGTCACGCAATCTCCACAGAAGAATACAAAGCCATCTTCCGGTTACTTGGCAGTAAATTCGTAGCCGGAGGAGACTGGACCGAAATACACACACTAATAAAGAAGTGAAAGAACTAATTAGCGCAGCATGTCAAATGTCCCTAACAATTAAAAGTTTACTAATATAGAAGTCAAAAAAGAAATAAACAAACTCAACTCACGAAAGGCTCTAGGTAAAATTTAATCTCGGCACAAGTACTAAAATAACTTCCTTGTAAGACCATTACTTTGTTAACAGCTATATTTAGCCGCATGCTAAGCTTATCATACTTTCCAAAAATATGAAAATTTGCTGAAACCATTATGATCCTCAAGCCAGGAAAGGAGCCCAATGAAGTAACATATTATCGACCCATTAGCCTACACCCAACCGTAAGTAAAGTTTTTGAAAGATTGCTGCTAAAACGGATATAAGCAGATCACGAGTTCATTACAGATTCACGAGAACATTACTACCAAAACATTAGTTTGGTTTTCGGGAAAATCACTCCACTACTCAACAAGTCCATCGATTGATAAATGAAATATTAAATAGTCTTGAAGGAAAGGAATACTGCAACGCTATATTTCTAGACATCTCACAAGCGTTTGACAAAGTCTGGCACAGAGGTCTACTTTACAAAGTAAAAATGGCACTATCTAGTAACTATTTTCTCCTACTTATATCCTACATATCAAATAGATAGTTCTCTGTAAAATTCAAAGACCAACAATCCAACCTGTGTCCTATCAACTCCGGAGTCCCGCAGGGTAGTGTTCTAGGGCCGCTGCTTTCCTCACTCTACTCAGCCGATAAACCAGAGACTAATAATAGTACAATCGCTTCCTTTGCTAAAGACGTAGCAATACTAGCTGTAAATAAAGATCTCATACAAGCCTCATAAAACCTGCAACATCATCTGAACATGCTCAACGATTGGTATACGAAGTGAAAAACAAAAGTAAATCAAACAAAATCAACTGAAATAACATTAACCAACCTTCACAATATATGTCCACCTGTAAGAATGAAAATTGTAAGAATACCAACAGTAACAGATACCTTGGCCTCCATCTTGACCAACGTCTCAATTAGATGAAACATATCCAAACCAAAATAAGACAGTTGGACTTGAATTTCCGGCAAATTTATTAGCTCCTTGGACGTAAATCAAAACTTAACATTCAAAACAAAATTTTTCTATACAGAGCCATACTCAAACCTATCTGGTTCTACGGACTACACCTATGGGGCTGTGCAAAGCTACGGAATCACAAAATAACCGTACAAATCACTATGAAAATAAGTTAGTAAGAGAATTATTCAACAATGGTCCAGCCACAAGAGTACTAGATAGAACCTGGCCCCAAGACCTACTTCAAAAGTAAACCAAAACAGAATAAGGTAAGACATCATTGGATGTCTCTCATTCACGCCCAAAGCCTGTAACACATTTACTTAATACTCTGTAATGATATATATTGTAAATAAACATAATTATAAAAAAATAATATGGGTACAAAGTGCCTTCTTGATTGAGGTTGGCGATTAATATGGAAAATTTATGTCCGCCCCGAGCGTAAAGATAAAAGATAAAGAATTAGTTGATTTCCTGTTGTATCGGTATACTTTTTCCCTTTCTCCCTATACTTCTCTTTTCTTGGATCTTTCATATTATTACTTAGAGTCGTTCAAACTCTTTGTTTTATTAGAGGCCCAAGCTATAACTTATCCTAATTTTAATTATCTAATGTTTAATCTAGTGGAAGTTGTGTGTTAAAGTTGTTTAGTATCTTTTTAATCTCTATCTTAATTTACGTTAATGGCTCTGCTTGTCTAACTTATTCGCCATATCCATCAATATATCAACATTTTGAAAGCGTTTAGCATTTTGATGCCATCTTTCATCAGTATTTATGTTTGGTATCCGTACAGTATTAAGGACCATATATAGCCTGCGAGCATTTTTAATTTTGTTATTATGAACACTTTTAGTTTGCAGAACATTTTCTCATGTTCATTAAGCCACATCGTATTATTTCGATGCGCCTTCTGATTTCTTTCTTCTTTTTGTGCCACTCCTGTCAGAGATTGGAAATCATCAAGGCTATTCTGACCTTGTTTACGGCTGACCTAAAGAGTTCATTAGTGGTGCAGCTAAACCACTCTCTCAAATTCCGCAACCATGACATTCTTCTACGGCCTGGATTCCGTGTTCTTTCTATTTTTCCCTTCATTATATTTCTTGATTTCTTTGGAGTGATCTAATGGACTATTTATCCCTCTGCCCAGATAACAGTCGCTCTGTACATTCTGAAGAGATTTCCGTTAAATGTCATTGTTCAAATTTTGAAAGCATTTATTTCCAAGCCCATCAAATGGCAATTAAATATTGTTCTCATAAATAAGTATATTTGCGGCAATCGTCTTGTTTGAACTTTATTATGGATATTTTGCGGTGTACTTCTTGCTTTGGGCGTATTTGTGAAAGAGCTGTGTATGTATATGTTAATACATAATATACCAATTTCGCACTCCTTGATCCGGTCTCAAATCACATAAAAATACAACGAGGGTTAGAAAAGGAGACCAAATGTCGCCTAAATTTTTTAATACTGTGCTGGAACATGTTTTTAAGAATTTGGATTGGCTGACAATAGAAATAAAAATAGATGGAGAATGTCTAAACAATTTACAGGAGATGGTACAGGAACTCGTTGTGGCTACAGAAAATGTGGGTTTAAATATAAACACTCGAAAACAAAAATAATGACAAATTTGGTACTGAGAGAAACTTTTAAAAGTGATCTGCTCACATGCCTGAAGAGAAAAGTATTTGATCAATGCGTTCTCCCAATGCTGGCATACGAAGCAGAAACACTTTCTTTGACAAAAGCCTGGGCTACCAAACTAAGAGTCACACAGAGAAGAATGGAGCGATCCATGTTAGGAATAACTCTGCGAGATAAAATAAAAAACGAAAAGGTCAGGAGAATAACCAAGGTGACTGACGTCATCAAAAGGATAGCCTGACTAAAATGAAGATGAGCAGGACACGTAGCTGTAAAAACTGATAAGAGTGGCGCAGGATAGAAAGGTTGGAAACACGAGAAAGAGGGCTATGTTCAGCAGTGGACTTTTCAGGTTTGATGACAATAATGATGTCCAGGTCTCAAGGTAGCGCCAGTCGTCACCCAGACTGCGTGACAACATCTGAGACATTCTCTTAGACATGTGGTATATATAACCTTCTTGGGAATGATAATGCAATGGATTCCTCTGCCCTATGGCATCGCAGTATACTCTGGAGCATCTCCGTAGGCATTCCATCTCTGTTGCTACTATCTTACTGCTGTTTTTCTTGTGTATAGTCCAATTTTCAGCCCCATACTTACAATACTTCGCACTAATGTTTTATAAATCAGTGTTTTTGTCTGTTCTTGTTTGGCCTAATCTTTGCGTAATTTCTTTCTCTGTTGTTACCTTTTTTGTAATTATAAACCAAAAAAAAAAATTACAGACCCATCACTTTATTAAATGTGATGTACAAACTATTAACCAAAATATTAACAAATAGATTAACAAATAAATTAGATGAATACCAGGCAAGAGAACAAGCCGGATTTAGAAAGAGCTTCAGTACAAGTGACCACCTTTTAACGATGAAGATTTTAATCGAAAAAACTAAATATCATATCCCGCTATACATGGCGTTTATTGACTTTGAGAAGGCATTTAATAGTGTGGAACACTGGGCAGTACAGTATTCCCTACAAAACAGCAGAGTAGACTACCGATATACCGACTTAATTACAAATATATACAACAAGGCAACAACAACTATTAAGCTAATGAAACAAACAGAGCCTATTAAAATAAACCGAGGAGTAAGACAAGGAGATACCATCTCGCCCAAGTTATTTAACCAAGCGCTAGAAGATGTTTTTAAACGACTACACTGGGATGACTTGGGAATTAATATAAATGGGCAAAATCTGAATCATTTACAATATGCTGATGATATTGTATTAATAACAGAAAAAAGTGAAGAATTACAAAGAATGATGGAAGAACTAGATAGAGAATCGACAAAAATTGAACTCAAGATGAATTATATTAAAACAAAAACCATGACTAATCAACCAGAAGAACTTATGATTACAGTGGCACAAACAAAAATAGAACAAGTAAAAGAGTATATATATCTAGGCCAAATCACTAAATTAAATAAAGAAAATCAGACCGAAGAAATAAAGAGAAGAATAAGATTGGCCTGGGCATCATTCGGAAAACTATCTTATATTCTAAAGAATTCAAAATACTCCCAATACTTAAAAACGAGAGTCTTCAATCAATGTATACTCCCTGTCCTCACATATGGCTCTCACGACATGGACGTTTACAAAGGAAAATATGGAAAAAATAGCAAAGACAGAAAGATCCATGGAAAGACAAATGCTGAACATTAAACTATCAGACAAAAAAAGAAACGAATGGATCCGTAATAAAACAAAAGTGAAAGATGTCTCAACCCAAGTAGCAAAGCTTAAATGGAAGTTCGCCGGACACACCCTAAGGCAGAAAGATGAAAGATGGACTAAAACAATTATACATTGGAGACCATGGAATCACAAACGTAAAAGGGGAAGGCCACAAATGCGATGGTCAGATGACCTGAAGAAACACGCCGGGTCAAAATGGATGCAAATTGCCCAAGATAGAGAGGCATGGAAGAAGGAGGAGGAGGCCTATATCCAAGGATGGATGTTAAGGGCTGTATAGATAAACCCCAAGTATTTGAATTTATCCTTTCCTTTGATTGTTACGTTGTCAACAATCTGTAGATCTTCTATGTCTTCTTCACTTATAGATG